CGTACACTGTGCGAGTCTCACGGGCAGGACATAGGGACATACTTCGTACACTGTGCGAGTCTCACGGGCAGGACATAGGGACATACTTCGTACACTGTGCGAGTCTCACGGGCAGGACATAGGGACATACTTCGTACACTGTGCGAGTCTCACGGGCAGGACATAGGGACATACTTCGTACACTGTGGTTTGCTGTGTTCTTCTGTCGTCAGGACTCAGGGAAACCGACCTCCACCTGGAGAAAGTGAAACAGAACGAACAAACGAGGTTCAGCGTCGGACACATTTCTGAACATGTAAAAATCAAAGTGCCAGAACTAACGGAGTGTTTCTGAACTGGAGCTGCCACACCCGACGTCGACGACACAAACGAGCAAAATAAAGTTTAAACTTTCTCAGGCTCAGGATTTTCCCGACTGTTGCGTTGAAACGATTTACAACAAATGTCGGGAGAACGAAGTCGGATTTATCCACGAACGCGGATCCGGCGGGACACAGACTCAAACTGAGGCTGTGGTTTGTTTCAGGGAGAAGCAGCAGAAGATCCAGGACATCCGCAAGAACGTGAAGGACGCCATCGTGGTGCGTCCCAGGAAATGTCCCGCACTGGGGCTTTAACTCTTCTAATGTGATCAAATGTCATGTAACTGAACCTTTTGCTCTGCTCCCGTCGCACCTGTCTGCTCTCGTCGCACCTGTCTGCTCCCGTCGCACCTGTCAGACCATCATCACGGCCATGAGCTCGCTGGCGCCTCCTGTGGCTCTGGGGAATCCTCAGAATCAGCACAGAGTCGACTACATCAAGAGCATCGCCCCCCCCCCTGTCGACTTCCCCGTGAGCCACGACAGAGGTTCAGAGGTGAGCCACGCCCCCCCGTCCCCCCCCACACACAGAGGTGAGCCACGCCCCCCCACGTGAGCCACGCCCCCCCACACACGTGAGAGCCCCCCCCGTGAGCCACGCCCCCCCCCCGTCGTGAGCCGCGCCCCCCCCACACACAGAGGTGAGCCACGCCCCCCCGTGAGCCACGCCCCCCCCGTGAGCCGCGCCCCCCCCACACACAGAGGTGAGCCACGCCCCCCCCGTGAGCCGCGCCCCCCCACACACAGAGGTGAGCCACGCCCCCCCCCGTGAGCCACGCCCCCCCACACACAGAGGTGAGCCACGCCCCCCCCCGTGAGCCGCGCCCCCCCACACACAGAGGTGAGCCACGCCCCCCCCGTGAGCCACGCCCCCCCCACACACACAGAGGTGAGCCACGCCCCCCGTGAGCCACGCCCCCCACACACACAGAGGTGAGCCACGCCCCCCCACACACACACAGAGGTGAGCCACGCCCCCCCGTGAGCCACGCCCCCCCCACACACACACAGAGGTGAGCCACGCCCCCCCGTGAGCCACGCCCCCCCACACACAGAGGTGAGCCACGCCCCCCCCGTGAGCCACGCCCCCCCACACACAGAGGTGAGCCACGCCCCCCCGTAAGCCACGCCCCCCCACCACACAGAGGTGAGCCACGCCCCCCCCGTGAGCCACGCCCCCCCCCACACACAGAGGTGAGCCACGCCCCCCCGTGAGCCACGCCCCCCCCACACACACAGAGGTGAGCCAGTCGAGTGTCGTGTATTTTGATACTTTTGTACTTTGGTACTTTGAATAAGACCGGTCTGTTCCCTGAGTCTCCTGAGTGCAACAGAACTACAGAGACCATGATGCTTTGCTCTGTTAGCTTAGCGTGCCGTTAGCGGTAATGAGCTCACCTGAGACTCACCTGAGCGGCGGGAGGTCCGCGGGGGCTCGTTAGGGGCTCGTTAGGGGCTCAGGAGGCGCTCTGATTGGTCGACAGGAGACAGGAAGTTCCTCAGACGGTTAAAGACGAAGAAATGTCCCACAGCGCCCCCCGTCTGAGGCCCGAGTACTGCACCTCCTCCTGGGTCCTGGTCTGGTTCTCGGTCTGGTTCTTGGTCTGGCACACTCAGAGGTTGTACTGCAGTACTGTAGTACTGGTGTAGTATTTGAAGTACTTTTGTGTATTTCAGGAGTTCTTCGAGCACTCAGAGGTTGTACTGCAGTACTGTAGTACTGGTGTAGTATTTGAAGTACTTTTGTGTATTTCAGGAGTTCTTCAAGCACTCAGAGGTTGTACTGCAGTACTGTAGTACTGGTGTAGTATTTGAAGTACTTTTGTGTATTTCAGGAGTTCTTCGAGCACTCAGAGGTTGTACTGCAGTACTGTAGTACTGGTGTAGTATTTGAAGTACTTTTGTGTATTTCAGGAGTTCTTCGAGCACTCAGAGGTTGTACTGCAGTACTGTAGTACTGGTGTAGTATTTGAAGTACTTTTGTGTATTTCAGGAGTTCTTCGAGCACTCAGAGGTTGTACTGCAGTACTGTAGTACTGGTGTAGTATTTGAAGTACTTTTGTGTATTTCAGGAGTTCTTCGAGCACACTCAGAGGTTGTACTGCAGTACTGTAGTACTGGTGTAGTATTTGAAGTACTTTTGTGTATTTCAGGAGTTCTTCGAGCACACTCAGAGGTTGTACTGCAGTACTGTAGTACTGGTGTAGTATTTGAAGTACTTTTGTGTATTTCAGGAGTTCTTCGAGCACACTCAGAGGTTGTACTGCAGTACTGTAGTACTGGTGTAGTATTTGAAGTACTTTTGTGTATTTCAGGAGTTCTTCGAGCACTCAGAGGTTGTACTGCAGTACTGTAGTACTGGTGTAGTATTTGAAGTACTTTTGTGTATTTCAGGAGTTCTTCGAGCACTCAGAGGTTGTACTGCAGTACTGTAGTACTGGTGTAGTATTTGAAGTACTTTTGTGTATTTCAGGAGTTCTTCGAGCACACTCAGAGGTTGTGGGAGGATGATGGAGTCAGAGCCTGTTTCGAACGATCCAACGAATATCAACTCATCGACTGTGCACAATAGTAACTATACTACTAATACTACTAATACTACTAATACTACTAATACTACTCATACTACTCATACTACTAATACTACTCATACTACTAATACTACTAATACTACTCATACTACTAATACTACTAATACTACTAATACTACTAATACTACTAATACTACTCATATACTCTACTACATACTACTAATACTACTACTACTATACTACTAATACTACTCATACATACTACTAATACTACTAATACTACTATATACTCATACTACTCATACTACTAATACTACTAATATACTATACTACTAATACTACTCATACTACTAATACTACTACTACTTACTACTACTAATACTACTACTAATATACTACTAATACTACTATATACTACTATACTATACTAATACTACTACTACTATACTAATACTACTATACTACTACTACTATACTACTAATACTACTAATACTACTCATACTACTCATACTACTACTACTAATACTACTAATACTACTACTACTCATACTACTAATACTACTAATACTACTAATACTACTCATACTACTAATACTACTAATACTACTAATACTACTCATACTACTAATACTACTAATACTACTCATACTACTAATACTACTAATACTACTAATACTACTCATACTACTCATACTACTAATACTACTATACTACTAATACTACTCATACTACTCATACTACTAATACTACTAATACTACTCATACTACTAATACTACTAATACTACTAATACTACTAATACTACTCATACTACTCATACTACTACTACTAATACTACTAATACTACTCATACTACTCATACTACTCATACTACTAATACTACTCATACTACTACTACTACTAATATACTACTAATACTACTAATACTACTCATACTACTCTAATATACTACTACTCATACTACTAATACTACTAATACTACTACTCATACTACTACTATACTACTATATACTACTAATACTACATACTAATACTATACTACTAATACTACTCATACTACTCATACTACTCATACTACTACTCTAATATACTACTACTACTCATACTACCTAATACTACTACTACATACTACTATACTACTAATACTACTACTTACTACTACTCATACTACTACATACTACTCATACTACTAATACTACTATATACTACTACTCATACTACTCTACTATACTACTACTAATATACTACTACTACTAATACTACTACTACTACTACTCATACTACTACTATACTACTACTCATACTATACTAATACTACTACTTACTCTACTACTACATACTACTATACTACTACTACTATACTACTACTACTACTACTACTACTATACTACTAATACTACTAATACTACTATATACTAATACTAATACTACTAATACTACTATACTACTACTATCTACTACTACTACTACTCATACTACTAATACTACTAATACTATACTACTAATACTACTAATACTACTATATACTACTACTACTAATACTACTAATACTACTCATACTACTAATACTACTAATACTACTACTACTATACTACTCATACTACTAATACTACTAATACTACTCATACTACTAATACTACTAATACTACTAATACTACTAATACTACTAATACTACTCATATACTACTCATACTACTAATACTACTAATACTACTAATACTACTAATACTACTAATACTACTAATACTACTAATACTACTAATACTACTAATACTACTAATACTACTAATACTACTAATACTACTAATACTACTAATACTACTAACTAATACTACTAATACTACATACTACTAATACTACTAATACTACTCATACTACATACTACTAATATACTACTAATACTACTAATACTACTACTAATACTACTAATACTACTACTAATACTACTAATACTACTAATACTACTAATACTACTAATACTACTACTACTCATACTCATACTACTACTACTATACTATAATACTACTACATACTACTAATACTACTAAACTAATATACTACTAATATACTACTAATATACAACTAATACTACTAATATACTACTAATATACAACTAATATACTACTAATATACTACTACTCATACTACTAATACTACTAATACTACTAATACTACTCATACTACTACTACTAATACTACTACTACTACTACTACTAATATACTACTACTACTCATACTACTCATACTACTACTACTAATACTACTCATACTACTACTACATACTACTCATACTACTAATACTACTATACTACTATATACTACTCATACTACTAATACTACTAATACTACTACTACTCACTACTACTCATACTACTAATACTACTCTAATACTACTACTACTACTACTATATACAATACTACTCATACTACTCATACTACTCATACTACTCATACTACTAATACTACTAATACTACTACTAATACTACTCATACTACTACTACTAATACTAATACTACTAAATACTACTAATACTACTATATACTACTACTACTACTACTAATACTACTACTACTACTAACTACTACTACTAACTACTACTACTACTCATACTACTCATACTATCATACTACTACTAATACTACTAATACTACTAATACTACTAATACTACTCATACTACTAATACTACTCATACTACTAATACTACTAATACTACTAATACTACTAATACTACTAATACTACTAATACTACTAATACTACTACTAATACTACTAATACTACTACTACTACTACTAATACTACTACTACTATACTACTAATACTACTAATACTACTAATACTACTACTACTAATACTACTAATACTACTAATACTAATACTACTAATACTACTAATACTACTACTACTACTACTAATACTACTAATACTACTACTAATACTACTCATACTACTAATACTACTAATACTACTAAACTACTCATACTACATACTACTAATATACTACTAATACTACTAACTACTACTACTACTCTAATACTACTATATACTACTAATACTACTAATACTACTACTACTATACTACTAATACTACATACTATACTACTAATACTACTAATACTACTAATACTACTAAATACTACTATATACTACTAATACTACTAATACTACTACTCATACTACTAATACTACTCATACTACTAATACTACTAATACTACTCATACTACTAATACTACTATATACTACTCTAATATACTACTACTAATACTACTCATACTACTAATACTACTACTACTACTACTCATATACTACTCATACTACTAATACTACTAATACTACTAATACTACTCATACTACTAATACTACTAATACTACTAATACTACTAATACTACTATACTACTCATACTACTAATACTACTAATACTACTAATACTACTCATACTACTCATACTACTAATACTACTAATACTATACTACTACTACTCATACTACTAATACTACTAATACTACTCATACTACTAATACTACTAATACTACTAATACTACTAATACTACTAATACTACTATACTACTACTAATACTACTCATATACTACTAATATACTACTAATACTACTCATACTACTAATACTACTAATACTACTAATACTACTAATACTACTCATACTACTACTACTACTAATACTACTCATACTACTAATACTACTCATACTACTAATACTACTACTAATACTACTAATACTACTACATACTACTAATACTACTAATACTACTACTCATACTACTAATACTACTAATACTACTAATACTACTACTACTACTACTACTAATACTACTAATACTACTCTACTACTACTACTACAATACTACTCATACTACTAATACTACTACTATACTACTCATATACTACTACTACTAATACTACTCATATACTACTACTAATATATACTACTCATATACTACTAATACTACTACTACTACTACTACATACTAATACTCATACTACTAATACTACAATACTACTACTAATACTACTAATACTACTAATACTACTAATACATACTATATACTACTCATACTACTAATACTACTAATACTACTCATACTACATACTACTAATACTACTAACTACTACTCATACTACTACTAATATACTACTACTATACTACTAATACTACTCATATACTACTACTTAATACTACTAATATACTACTACTCATACTACTAATACTACTATACTAATACTACTACTACTACTACTATATACTACTATATACATACTACATACTACTAATACTACATACTACTCATACTACTACATACTACTAATACTACTACTACTACTAATACTACTAATACTACTAATACTACTAATCTACTACATACTACTATATACTACTAATACTACTAATACTACTATATACTACTACTCATACTACTAATACTACTAATACTACTCATACTACTAATACTACTAATACTACATACTACTACATACTACTCATACTACTAATACTACTACTAATATACAATACTACTCATACTACATACTACTAATACTACTCATACTACTACTACTACATACTACTCATACTACTACTACTAATACTACTAATACTACTAATACTACTCATACTACTACTCATACTACTAATACTACATAATTACTACTCATACTACTACTAATACTACTCATACTACTACTACTACTAATACTACTCATACTACTAATACTACTAATACTACTAATACTACTAATACTACTAACTACTACTAATACTACTCATACTACTCATACTACTAATACTACTAATACTACTATACTACTCATACTACTCATACTACTAATACTACTCATACTACTCATACTACTCATACTACTCATACTACTAATACTACTCATACTACTAATACTACTAATACTACTCATACTACTCATACTACTAATACTACTAATACTACTATACTACTCATACTACTCATACTACTATACTACTATACTACATACTTACTAATACTACTAATACTACATACTACTAACTACTAATACTACTAATACTACTACTACTATACTACTCATACTACAATACTACTAATACTACTACTACTCATACTACATACTACTAATACTACTATACTACTACTACTAATACTACTAATACTACTAATACTACTCATACTACTAATACTACTAACTACTACTACTACTACTACTACTAATACTTACTAAATACTACTACTACTATACTCTAATACTACTATACTACTACTATACTACTAACTACTACTACTAATACTACTAATACTACTAATACTACTAATACTACTAATACTACTAATACTACTCTAATACTACTAATACTACTACTACTATACTACTCATACTACTAATACTACTAATACTACTAATACTACTAATACTACTATACTACTAATACTACTAATACTACTCATACTACTAATACTACTCATACTACTAATACTACTAATACTACTCATACTACTCATACTACTAATACTACTAATACTACTCATACTACAAATACTACTACTACTACAAATACTACTCATACTACAAATACTACTACTGCTACTTCACCTGATCCTGTGATAATCCTCTTTTTCTTTTTGTTTTTCTTCCAGTTTCCTCGATCGACTCGACTCCGTCCGAAGAAAAGACTACACCCCCACAGACCAGGTCTGAACCAGGACTAAACCAGGACTAAACCAGGTCTGAACCAGGACTAAACCAGGTCTGAACCAGGACTAAACCAGGACTAAACCAGGTCTAAACCAGGACTAAACCAGGACTAAACCAGGTCTGAACCAGGACTAAACCAGGTCTGAACCAGGACTAAACCAGGACTAAACCAGGTCTAAACCAGGACTAAACCAGGTCTAAACCAGGACTAAACCAGGACTAAACCAGGTCTAAACCAGGACTAAACCAGGACTAAACCAGGACTAAACCAGGTCTAAACCAGGACTAAACCAGGACTAAACCAGGTCTGAACCAGGTCTAAACCAGGACTAAACCAGGTCTGAACCAGGACAAAACCAGGTCTGAACCAGGTCTGAACCAGGACTAAACCAGGTCTAAACCAGGACTAAACCAGGACTAAACCAGGACTAAACCAGGTCTGAACCAGGACTAAACCAGGACTAAACCAGGTCTGAACCAGGACTAAACCAGGTCTAAACCAGGACTAAACCAGGACTAAACCAGGTCTGAACCAGGACTAAACCAGGACTAAACCAGGTCTGAACCAGGACTAAACCAGGACTAAACCAGGTCTGAACCAGGTCTAAACCAGGACTAAACCAGGTCTGAACCAGGACTAAACCAGGTCTAAACCAGGTCTGAACCAGGACTAAACCAGGACTAAACCAGGACTAAACCAGGACTAAACCAGGTCTGAACCAGGTCTGAACCAGGACTAAACCAGGACTAAACCAGGACTAAACCAGGTCTGAACCAGGTCTGAACCAGGTCTTTGTTTGGTCCAGGACTTGTTGCGGTGCAGAGTTCTGACGTCTGGGATCTTTGAGACTCGGTTCCAGGTCGACCGTGTGAACTTCCAGTGAGTCAAGTCCTGCACTAGTACTGCAGTACTCCAGTACTACTGCAGTACTACAGTACTCCTGCAGTACTAAAGTACTGCAGGAGTAGAGGTAGTATATGTAGTTGTAGTAACAGTGGGGCTTGTGTTTGTAGTAGTATTTGTGTAATATTTGTAATTGTACTTGTAGTAATCCTTGTACTTCCTCAGTATGTTTGACGTCGGGGGTCAGAGGGACGAGAGACGGAAATGGATCCAGTGTTTCAACGGTGAGAAAAAAAACAAACATGTGTGACAGGTGCCCTCCTCATGTGTGACAGGTGCCCTCCCCATGTGTGACAGGTGCCCTCCTCATGTGTGACAGGTGCCCTCCCCATGTGTGACAGGTGCCCTCCCCATGTGTGACAGGTGCCCTCCCCATGTGTGACAGGTGCCCTCCTCATGTGTGACAGGTGCCCTCCTCATGTGTGACAGGTGTCCTCCCCATGTGTGACAGGTGCCCTCATGTGTGACAGGTGCCCTCCCCATGTGTGACACAAGCCCTCCTCATGTGTGAAGGTGCCCTCCTCATGTGTGACCAGTGCCCTCCAGGTGTGTGTGTGTCAGGTGTGTGTCAGGTGTGTGTGTGAGGTGTGTGTCAGGTGTGTGTGTGTCAGGTGTGTGTCAGGTTTGTGTGTGTCAGGTGTGTGTGTCAGGTGTGTGTGTGTCAGTTGTATGTGTCAGGTGTATGTGTCAGGTGCATGTGTCAGGTGCATGTGTCAGGTGTATGTGTCATGTGTATGTGTCATGTGTATGCGTCATGTGTGTGTCAGGTGTGTGTGTGTCAGGTTTGTGTGTGTCAGGTGTGTGTGTCAGGTGTGTGTGTGTCAGGTGTATGTGTCAGGTGTGTGTGTGTCAGGTGTATGTGTCAGTTGTATGTGTCAGGTGTGTGTGTCAGGTGTGTGTCATGTATGTGTCAGGTGTATGTGTCAGGTGTATGTGTCAGGTGTGTGTGTCATGTGTGTGTATGTGTCAGGTGTATGTGTCAGGTGTGTGTCAGTGTGTGTGTCAGGTGTATGTGTCAGGTGTATGTGTCAGGTGTGTGTGTCAGGTGTGTGTCAGGTGTGTCAGTGTGTCATGTGTCAGTGTGTGTGTCAGGTGTGTCATGTGTGTCTGTGTGTGTAGGTGTATGTGTCAGGTGTGTGTGTCAGGTGTGTGTCATGTATGTGTCAGGTGTATGTGTCAGGTGTATGTGTCAGGTGTATGTGTCAGGTGTGTGTCAGGTGTATGTGTCAGGTGTGTGTGTCTCAGGTGTATGTGACATGTGTGTGTGTCAGGTGTATGTGTCTATGTGTCGTGTGTGTCATGTGTGTATGTGTCTGTGTGTATGTGTCATGTGTGTGTGTGTATGTGTCTGTGTGTATGTGTCATGTGTGTGTGTGTATGTGTCTGTGTGTATGGGTCATGTGTGTATGTGTCATGTGTGTGTGTGTCTGTGTGTATGTCATGTGTGTGTGTGTCTGTGTGTATGTGTCTGTGTGTGTATGTGTCATGTGTGTGTGTCTGTGTGTATGTGTCTGTGTGTATGTGTCTGTGTGTATGTGTCTGTGTGTATGTGTGTGTCTGTATGTGTGTGTGTGTGTCTGTGTGTATGTGTCTGTGTGTATGTGTGTCATGTGTCTGTGTGTATGTGTCTGTGTGTATGTGTCTGTGTGTGTATGTGTCTGTGTGTGTATGTGTCATGTGTGTATGTGTCATGTGTGTGTGTGTGTGTCTGTTGTGTGTATGTGTCTGTGTGTATGGGTCATGTGTGTATGTGTCATGTGTGTGTGTGTGTCTGTGTGTGTGTCTGTGTGTGTATGTGTCATGTGTGTGTGTCTGTGTGTATGTGTCTGTGTGTATGGTGTCATGTGTGTATGTGTCTGTGTGTGTGTGTGTTGTGTGTGTGTGTCTGTGTGTATGTGTCATGTGTATGTGTGTGTGTCTGTGTGTATGTGTCTGTGTGTATGTGTCATGTGTGTATGTGTCTGTGTGTATGTGTCTGTGTGTATGGGTCATGTGTGTGTATGTGTCATGTGTGTGTGTGTCATGTGTGTATGTGTCTGTGTGTGTATGTGTCTGTGTGTATGTGTCTGTGTGTGTGTGTGTCTGTGTGTATGTGTCATGTGTGTATGTGTCTGTGTGTATGTCTGTGTCTGTGTGTATGTGTCTGTATGTGTATGTGGTGTCATGTGTGTCAGTGTGTATGTGTGTGTGTGTCTGTGTGTGTGTGTGTGTGTGTGTCTGTGTGTGTGTATGTGTCATGTGTGTGTATGTGTCTGTGTGTATGTGTCATGTGTGTCATGTGTGTGTATGTGTCTGTGTGTATGTGTCTGTGTGTATGTGTCATGTGTGTATGTGTCATGTGTGTATGTGTCTGTGTGTATGTGTCTGTGTGTATGTGTGTCATGTGTGTATGTGTCTGTGTGTGTGTGTCATGTGTGATGTGTCTGTGTGTATGTGTCTGTGTGTCTGTGTGTATGTGTCATGTGTGTATGTGTCTGTGTGTATGTGTCTGTGTGTATGTCATGTGTGTGTGTGTGTGTATGTGTCTGTGTGTATGTGTCATGTGTGTATGTGTCTGTGTGTATGTGTCTGTGTATGTGTCATGTGTGTGTGTGTCTGTGTGTGTCATGTGTGTGTGTGTCTGTGTGTATGTGTCATGTGTGTATGTGTCATGTGTGTGTGTGTCTGTGTGTGTATGTGTGTGTCTGTGTGTGTGTCTGTGTGTATGTGTCATGTATGTGTCATGTGTGTATGTGTCATGTGTGTATGTGTCTGTGTGTATGTGTCTGTGTGTATGTGTCATGTGTGTATGTGTCATGTGTGTATGTGTCTGTGTGTATGTGTCTGTGTGTATGTGTCATGTGTGTGTGTGTGTGTGTGTGTCATGTGTGTATGTGTGTGTGTGTGTGTGTGTATGTGTCTGTGTGTGTCATGTGTGTGTGTCATGTGTCTGTGTGTATGTGTCATGTGTGTGTGTGTGTGTGTGTCTGTGTGTATGTGTCTGTGTGTATGTGTCATGTGTGTGTGTGTCCTGTGTGTGTGTGTATGTGTCTGTGTGTATGTGTCTGTGTGTCTGTGTGTATGTGTCATGTGTGTGTGTGTGTGTATGTGTCTGTGTGTATGTGTGTCATGTGTGTATGTGTGTGTGTCTGTGTGTATGTGTGTGTATGTGTCTGTGTGTATGTGTCTGTGTGTATGTGTCTGTGTGTATGTGTCATGTGTGTATGTGTCATGTGTGTGTATGTGTCTGTGTGTGTGTGTGTGTGTGTGTCATGTGTGTGTGTATGTGTCTGTGTGTATGTGTCATGTGTGTATGTGTCATGTGTGTATGTGTCTGTGTGTATGTGTCTGTGTGTGTATGTGTCATGTGTGTGTATGTGTCTGTGTGTATGTGTCATGTGTGTAGTGTGTGTGTGTGTGTATGTGTGTGTGTATGTGTCATGTGTGTGTGTGTGTGTCTGTATGTATGTGTCTGTGTGTATGGGTCATGTGTGTATGTGTCGTGTGTGTGTGTCTGTGTGTATGTGTCATGTGTGTATGTGTCTGTGTGTATGTGTCTGTGTGTATGGGTCATGTGTGTATGTGTCATGTGTGTGTGTCTGTGTGTGTCTGTGTGTATGTGTCTGTGTGTGTGTGTCTGTGTGTATGTGTCTGTGTGTATGTGTCATGTGTGTATGTGTCTGTGTGTATGTGTCTGTGTGTATGGGTCATGTGTGTATGTGTCATGTGTGTGTGTGTGTCATGTGTGTATGTGTCTGTTGTGTGTGTGTGTGTGTATGGTCTGTGTGTGTGTGTGTGTATGTGTCTGTGTGTATGTGTCGTGTGTATGTGTCTGTGTGTATGTGTCTGTGTGTATGTGGTCATGTGTGTATGTGTCATGTGTGTGTATGTGTCTGTGTGTGTGTGTGTGTATGTGTCTGTGTGTGTGTCTGTGTGTATGTGTCATGTGTGTATGTGTCTGTGTGTATGTGTCTGTGTGTATGTGTGTCATGTGTGTGTGTATGTGTGTCATGTGTGTGTGTGTCTGTGTGTATGTGTCTGTGTGTATGTGTCTGTGTGTATGTGTCATGTGTGTGTGTGTATGTGTCTGTGTGTATGTGTCATGTGTGTATGTGTCTCATGTGTGTGTGTATGTGTCTGTGTGTATGTGTCATGTGTGTATGTGTCATGTGTGTATGTGTCTGTGTGTATGTGTCATGTGTGTATGTCTGTGTGTGTGTCATGTGTGTATGTGTCTGTGTGTATGTGTCTGTGTGTCTGTGTGTATGTGTCATGTGTGTATGTGTCTGTGTGTATGTGTCTGTGTGTATGTGTCTGTGTGTATGTGTCATGTGTGTGTGTCTGTGTGTATGTGTCATGTGTGTGTGTGTCTGTGTGTATGTGCCATGTGTGTGTGTGTCTGTGTGTATGTGTCATGTGTGTATGTGTCATGTGTGTATGTGTCATGTGTGTGTGTGTCTGTGTGTATGTGTCTGTGTGTATGTGTCTGTGTGTATGTGTCATGTGTGTATGTGTCATGTGTGTATGTGTCTGTGTGTATGTGTCTGTGTGTATGTGTCATGTGTGTATGTGTCATGTGTGTATGTGTCTGTGTGTATGTGTCTGTGTGTATGTGTCTGTGTGTATGTGTCATGTGTGTGTGTGTCATGTGTGTATGTGTCATGTGTGTATGTGTGTCATGTGTGTGTGTGTGTGTCTGTGTGTATGGGTCATGTGTGTAGTGTCTGTGTGTATGTCTGTGTGTGTCTGTGTGTATGTGTCATGTGTGTGTGTGTGTCTGTGTGTATGTGTCTGTGTGTGTATGTGTCATGTGTGTATGTGTCATGTGTGTGTCATGTGTTATGTGTGTGTATGTGTGTGTCTGTGTGTATGTGTCATGTGTGTATGTGTCTGTGTGTATGTGTCGTGTGTGTGTGTCTGTGTGTATGTGTCATGTGTGTATGTGTCATGTGTGTATGTGTCATGTGTGTATGTGTCTGTGTGTATGTGTCGTGTGTGTGTGTCTGTGTGTGTATGTGTCATGTGTGTATGTGTCATGTGTCATGTGTGTATGTGTCATGTGTGTATGTGTATGTGTCTGTGTGTATGTGTCGTGTGTATGTGTCATGTGTGTATGTGTCATGTGTGTGTGTGTCTGTGTGTATGTGTCTGTGTGTATGTGTCGTGTGTGTGTGTCTGTGTGTATGTGTCATGTGTGTATGTGTCATGTGTGTATGTGTCATGTGTGTATGTGTCTGTGTGTATGTGTCGTGTGTATGTGTCATGTGTGTGTGTGTCGTGTGTGTGTGTCATGTGTGTATGTGTCATGTGTGTATGTGTCGTGTGTATGTGTCTGTGTGTATGTGTCATGTGTGTATGTGTCATGTGTGTATGTGTCTGTGTGTATGTGTCATGTGTGTTTGTGTCTGTGTGTATGTGTCATGTGTATATGTGTCATGTGTGTATCTGTCATGTGTGTATGTGTCTGTGTGTATGTGTCATGTGTGTGTGTGTCGTGTGTGTGTCATGTGTGTATGTGTCATGTG